CCACTGGACTCTAGAGCAGTGGAGACGTGTTCTCTGGAGTGACCAATCACGCTTCTTTGTCTGGCAATCTGATGGACATATCTGGGTTTGGCGGTTGCCAGAAGAATGGTACTTGGTACTGCATTGTGCCAGGTGTAAAGTTTGGTGGAGGGGGGGGATTATGGTTTGGGGTTGTTTTTCAGGGGTTAGGTTTAGCCACCTAGTTCCAGTGAAGGGAACACTTAAGGCATAAGCATACCAAGACCTTTTGGACAATTTCCTGCTCCCAACTTTGTAAGAAGAGTTTGGGGATAGCTCCTTCCTGTTCCAACATGACTGCTCACCAGTGCACAAAGCAAGGTCCATAAAGACATGGAGGAGCCAGTTTGGGGTGGAGGAACTTGACTGTCCTGCACAGAGTCCTGACCTCAACTCCTTAGAACACCTTTGGGATGAATTAGAGCGGAGACTGGGAGCCAGGCCTCCTCCCCCGACATCAGTGCCTGACCTGACAAATGTGCTTCTGGAAGAATGGTCAAACCTTCCTAGACACCCTCCTAAACCTTGTGGACGGCCTTCCCAGAAGACTTGAAGCTGTTAAAGTTGCAAAGGCCTGGATCAGTAATGGGCACAGAGCTCCAATTCAAATCAGACTCCAGCAAGGTGGAGGTGGGATACTGGTATGTACTGGTATTTTTAAAGATGAGCTAGTTGGACTTTTTCAGGTAGAAAATGGGTTCAAAATCAGCTCCCAAACCTCCTGCCTGTTTTTAGAAGACACTTTCTTCAAGCAGTGGTACACAACAAAGTCTGCATCTTTCAAGAAGACCATGATATTTATGCAGGACAATACTCCATCGCATGCATTGAAGTACACCACTGCGTGACTAGCCAGTAAAGGCCTTAAAGATGAAAGAATAATGACATGGCCCCCTTCCTCACCTGACCTAAACCCTATTGAGAACATGTGGGCCCTTTTGAAACAGGAAATTTACGGTGAAGGAAAACAATACACCTCTTTGAACAATGTTTGGGAGGCTGTGGTTGCTGCTGCACAAAAAGTTGATCGTCAACAGATCAAGAAACTGACAAACTCCATGCCTGTTATTGAAAAGAAGGGTGGCTATATTGGTCACTGATTTCTTTTTGAAATGTCAGAAACAGGGGCGGACTGAGAACTCATGGGGCCCTCGGGCAATAGGGGATCATGGGGCCCCTGTGTCCTTGCCCAAACTCACAAAAGCCTTTGAAAAAGGCACCAGGGGCATCTCATGGGGCCCCCTACTGACCCTGGGCCCTCGGGCAGTGCCTGAGTTTCCAAATGCTCAGTCCGCCCCTGGTCAGAAATGTTTATTTGTAAATTTTGAGTTTGTTTATTATTCTCACTTTAACAGATGAAAAAACAAAGAAGTGAGATGGGAAAATGTTAGTTTTTCATTTAGTTGAATAATAATTCTGCACATTAATAGTTGCCCAATAATTGTACACATGTAGATATTCTCCTACAAAAGGCAAAACCTCACTTTTACTTTCTTAAATATTCAGGTTTGAGGTTTGTTAACATTTTGGATTGACCGAGAGCACTGTAGTTGTTCAATAATGAAATGAATCCTCAAAAATACACCTTGCCTAATAATTGTGCACACAGTGTAGTATCACGTGCATTTTGTTCTGCGTAGGAATCTGCAATGTGTATAAAACGCATTGAAAGCCACATGAAAACTGATGGCAATTCCTGTCTATGCAAGTGAAATCTAAGCGTTTTTTTCCGTCAGTTTTTCTTCATGTGTGGTGTGAACAGGGGCGGACTGACCATTTGGAAACTCGGGCGCTGCCCGAGGGCCCGGGGTCAGTAGGGGGCCCCATGAGATGCCCCTGTTACCTTTTTGATAGGCTTTTTTGAGTGTGGGCCAGGACACAGGGGCCCCATGATCCCCTATTGCCCGGGGGCCCCATGAGTTGTCAGTCCGGCCCTGGGTGTGAACGAGGCCTAATACAAGTCAGAGGATATAGCCAACATGTTTTAGGGGGCTAACAACTCCCCCCTTCAGCAGGCCTTTTGTGCTGGCACTTACATTTACATTTAATCTACATTTTTGGAATGCACTTACAAATATATGTAAAAACATATGTTAAAATAACTTTTTTACATGTTAAAAAAAAATTTCTGAAGAATATATTTAAAAAAAATATATTTTTAAAATTATTTTCAGATATTTTGTAACATATAAAAAAAGCATTTCAACATATAGTGTATATTATTATTATACAGTATTTATAAAGCGCCAATAGTTCACTCAGCGCTGTACATTACAAAGGGGGACAGAACATGTGACAGAACAATACCAATACATTGCAAAACATGAGGGGATTGAGGGCCCTGCTCCTTGGAGCTTACAATATATATATATATATAAAATTTTTTTTTTTTTTTGTTATGTTTTTTTTATATTGAATATGGACACAATTGTAGTATTTCAAGTATATGTCAATATATTTTGGAAGAATACTTTTAAAATATATTTAAAATATATTTTTCTTCCATGTTGGGTGTGACAGCCCAAATAGCTGCCAGCACACAACCCTGATGAAGGGAGAACTGCGAGAACCCGAAACATGTTGGCTCTATCCTCTGACCTGTAATAGACTTCTACTGGACTTGATGCAAACCTATGGCTCTCTCATCCCCCTGCATCCTCCAAGAGGCATGTTGGGAGCTAGAACAGTTTGGGTCCCAGTGTGCCAGTGTGTGCAGTTGTCCCTTTTTCAGGTCCACGGCCGTGCCAATACCTTCGTCCACAATGGTGTGTTAGGTGAACGCTGGGCGCAATGATTGGTGAGAATTAGGCTTGGCATACAGTTACAGGCTGCTTTCTTTCACTCATTATATTCCAAAGGGGCTGTCACACTAGTATGTAAAGAGATGTGAGCACCACAGGTTGGCAAGTCCAGTAGAGGTCTATTACAGGTCAGAGGATATAGCGAACATATTTCAGGTTCTCACAGCTGCCTCAGGGAACGGGTGCTGGCAAACATTTGGGGGTACTGGACAGTGAGAAAGAAAAAATTATGATCAGTGGCCAAATGCACACAGGCCCTAATGAAGGGGGTGTTGTAGCCCCTGACATGTGTTGGAAAAAAATCCTCTGACCTGAAATAAACCTCTGCTTGACTTGATGACCTGCGGTGCCCTCATTCTTTGACATACTATTCTGACTACGCAAGAGACCCCTTGGGATACCCTCATGTCAGGGCAGGGCTGTGGAACGGACAGGTAGGCCTAGTGGCCGGGTAACGCACTGGCTGACGACAACCACCACAGTCCGAAGTCCCTCAGGGCGCGGAGTCTAAGTCCCAGGCTGCCCTTCACCAGGGCCCCTGATGGTGGGGATGGACTTGATGCAGCCAGGAACCAGGTCACGGCCCCCGAGACACCCCGGCTGCGATAATGGCCGCCGCCAATGGCATGTAGCTGGTAAGAATGACAATAGCGTAGTCAGGCAGGCCGGGTTGACAACAACGGGACAAAACGGTACAGAACAGTAGACAGAGAATCACAGGTCACGGGCCGGGTTCAGCAACGGAAGGTCAGATCGAAGGAAAACACAGAGAATGGTCTAGTCACAAGCACAGTCAGATACCAGAAGAGTCACGAGAGTATACACAGAGCTGTAGCAAGACAAAGACACAAGACACAAGTGCAAAGAGCATGTGCGGATCACAGGCTATATGTACTCAGCCACACCCCTCTGGGGGAGGGACCTCAGAGACCTGAAGGCATAAAAGATTCCCACCATGCTCAGCAGAAATCCAAGATGGATGCCAGCACATGGAGTAACATAACCTCTGGGAAAAGGTAGGACCTTGACACCTCGATGCCTGTAAGAACGTTATACCAGGCCTGTGATCAGTGGGCTTTGCGCCCAACCAGCACACCTTCAGATGAAGGGATTGCTGACCAGCGAACAACTGCACTCCTTGGGACCCGAATATGTTCCAACTCCCAATATGTCTTTTGGAGGCAAAAAAAAATGCCCATGGAGAAATAAAATTGGTGATCAGTCACAGATATTTTCCATCGTGCCAGAAAATCTCCACTGGTCTTCTCATAAGCGTTCCTAATCGCTCAGTAGCTGGTCCCTGCATGCCCTGATTATTCCAAGAAATGCCCAGATCTGTGACAGTTCACGCATTTGTCGGAGTGAGGGCTTGGGTTATATTTTAGAGCATATGGAAAGATGATTTTATCGTGCAACTATTTTTACAACGCCAACAAGTTTGATACATTAAAACATTCTATGGGAACATTTTTGATGGAGTACCCAAAGAAAACCAAGCAAATGCAGGGAAGAACATGCCAACCCCATTTAGAAAGGGCCTTGGTGGGTACCAAAACCGGGACCCCAAGGGCTGCAGTGCCGAAGTGGAAACCTCTAAGCCATTCTTAAAGTGGTTCGAAAGGTTCATTTTTTTTCCTTCTTTAAAATAACACGTATATGTGTAGTATAGAGAGGAAACACTTATAAAATATTAATGTTTTGGTATAAGACCCTGAAGTTCTCCATGCCCACAATCCGAGTGTTTGTCCTGTCTGCTGGCGAGGAAACTGGCACTCTCTTCCACATTTTCTGGACTTGCCAACACATTGCACCCTTCTGGAGAGAGGTCCTTGTCAGGGATCGCGGCTCCGATCGCGGCACCTTCCCCCGCGCACGCGCACTGGTGGCGGATCTCGCCGGGACACAGGCACTAGGTCCCGGCGAGCCGCGGCTGACAGGACGCCGCGCATGCGCGGTAGAAAGCCGCGGGCGCCCTCAGGCGTCCAATGACAGCCGGGGGCGCGTCCTAGCCGGCCAATGACAGTGCAGGGCGCACTATTTAAAGATGCCCTGCACTGTCACTGATTGCCGCAAGGTCTTCTGAGTTCCTGTATCCTGTACCTGAGTTTTTGATCCTGATTGACCCTGACTACTCTACTCTCTCCTGCATTTTGACCCGGATTGTCCTGACTACTCTACTCTCTCCTGCATTTTGACCCGGATTGTCCTGACTACTCTACTCTCTCCCATCCTGACCCCCGGCTTGTTAAAACCTATCTACGGACTGACTTCTCCTGCTGACCCTGCCAAGTGACCTGACGATTCTCCGCCTGCCGATTCTGTACCACGCCTCCTCCTCCACGGGTCCCCTGCTCGCAATCTATCCTGCTGGGCCCTGCCGTCCTCCTCACATCTGGCTCTTCCGGTACCATACATCCCCAGTGGTTCCCCCTGCCGCTGGCAGGCCTGCTCAGAGATCGTGACCTGGTCCTGGTCTGTTTCAAGTCCATCCCCACCATCAGGGGCCCTGGTGAAAGCACAGACCGGGACTTAGACTCCACGCTTTGGGTAGGTCTGTCAAGTAGACAGCCAGCAGCACCACCTGGCGGATCATAACAGTACCTTGCGGCCATGACAGAGCCAGGAAGAGGACCGGCGTCCCTAGAGGATATATACCAGCATCTGGCGACTCTAACCCAGGCCGTCCAGAACTTTCACAGCCGCTGCACCCGTCTTGAAGACCGCTTAGAGACATTAGCCACCCAGACTCCCCCCTGCTCCTAGTTCCGCCACTGCGGAGTCACCCACTACCTCAGCATCCGGAGCAGTTGCTGCACCCCTAGCTCCCGAACCCCGCGTTCCCCTGCCGGAACGATTCCGTGGAGACCGAAGCCGCTTCCGGGCCTTCCGGAACACGTGCACTTTTTTTTTTGACCTGCAGCCCCGCACATTCGTCACCGAGACCGTCAAGGTGGGGTTTGTAATCTCCCTCCTTCAGGATGAGCCCCAAGATTGGGCTCATTGCCTGATGGAGAAGCGCGACCCCCATCTTGATTCCGTGACTGAGTTCTTTCAGGCCATGGCCGTCCTATATGACGACCCCCATCGGGCTGCCTCTGCAGAGGCTACGCTATACTCTCTGCGGCAAGGCCGCCGGGCAGCCGAAGAGTATGCGGCTGACTTTAGGCGTTGGATGGGAGATACCAGATGGAACGATGCGGTACTATGTCACCAGTTCCGCATCGGGCTGTCTGAGTCGCTAAAGGACGAATTAGCACGAGTAGGTCTACCGGACTCTCTTGAGAAACTGATAGAGTTGGCCATCCAAATTGACCGCAGACTGAGAGAGGGTCGCCTGGAAAGGAGCAGCCAGGGTCAAAGGGTGGCATGGATTCCACCAAGAGAAGCAGTTCCAACCCCAGGGAACCATACCCGGAGCACGGAAGCAGGGGACACCTCGGAACCCATGCAACTGGGACTGGCCCGTTCCACTTTATCGGCCGAGGAACGTCAGAGGAGACGATCGCAGAACCTGTGTCTGTACTGTGGGGAAGCTGGTCACCAGGTGCGCTCCTGTCCTACAAAAATGAGTAAGTCCGCTTCCTGTTTTCCTTTACCTACTGAAAAGGGTGATCAACCTAGTTACCTAGCAATACCTGTGTCGTTACAGCTCCCCGGAAGAACCCTGTCGGTGACCGCAATCATTGATTCGGGAGCATGTAGTTGTTTCATCGACCTTACTTTTGCCCACCGGCAAAAGATTCCCCTCCAGACCAAAGAAAGGGGGTTTAACATCTTCCTGGCAGACGGGTCTAGCATAAAGTCGGGAGTGGTGGATCAGGAGACTCCCCCTATTTTTACCACGATGGCTGACCATCATCAGGAGTTCCTCCGTCTGGATGCCATCGCATCCCCCCTTTTCCCAATCATTCTGGGGCTTCCTTGGCTGCGGGCCCATAACCCCCAGGTTGATTGGGAGATGGGGACGGTTCAATTTCGGTCACCGTATTGCCGGGATCACTGCCACTTCCCAGGGCCCGTGTCTTCCCGGTTTCTCCTGTGCATGGATGGTGATACGGATCTTTCTCAGATTGTCCCTCCGGCCTACCACGATTTCCTAGACGTGTTTAGTAAGCGAGGAGCAGATATTCTTCCCCCGCATCGTTCATACGATTGCCCCATAGACCTCCTACCTGGATCTGAGATTTCGTTTGGTCGCATTTTTCCCTTATCTGAACTAGAATCAGGAGTTTTGAGGGAGTACATTGATGACAATCTACGGAAGGGATTTATTCGCCCGTCCACGTCCCCGGCCGGGGCTGGGTTGTTTTTTGTGGAAAAGAAGGACAAATCATTACGGGCCTGTACTGACTACCGTGACCTGAATAAGATCACAGTAAAATATCGCTACCCATTACCCCTAGTCCCCGAGCTCCTCCAGAGGTTTGGATCAGCAGCAATTTTTACTAAATTAGATCTGCGGGGGGCTTATAACCTTGTTCGCATCAGGGAGGGGGATGAATGGAAAACAGCCTTTCGTACGAGATTCGGTCATTTCGAATATTTGGTGATGCCGTTCGGGCTCTGTAATGCACCGGCCACCTTCCAACACTTTATCAATGACGTCTTTCGTGATTTCCTCGATGTCTTCGTGGTTGTTTACCTCGATGATATTCTGATATTTTCATCCTCACTGGAGGCTCATAGGGAGCATGTGGCAAGGGTCTTAGCACGTTTACGTCAACACGGGCTTTACGCCAAAGCAGAGAAATGCTGCTTTGAACAGTGTAAAATCACGTTCTTGGGACTGGTTCTCTCTCCCCGCGGGGGTTGCGATGGATCCCCAAAAGGTCACGGCGATCTTAGATTGGCCGACACCCACTGATAAGAGGGGGGTACAGCGTTTCATTGGATTCGCAAACTTTTATAGAAAGTTTGTCAGGAACTTCTCAGGGCTGGTCTCCCCAATCACGCAACTGACTAATCAGGGGCTCTGTTTTAGTTGGACCCCCGAAGCTCAGATCGCATTCGACATGCTCAAGAAGTTGTTTACTTCCGCTCCCATCCTCTGCCATCCAGATTCTTCTCTTCCATATGTTTTGGAGGTAGATGCCTCCGAAAATGCGGTAGGAACGATTCTTTCCCAAAGGAGTGGTACCAAGGAATTACTGCATCCTGTGGCGTTTTTCTCCAGGAAGTTGACTCCGGCGGAGCGCAATTATGATATTGGAGATCGGGAACTCCTGGCCATCAAATCCGCTCTAGAAGAATGGAGGTATCTCCTGGAAGGAGCCACGCACCCAATCCTAATATTCACGGATCACAAGAACCTCAAGTATTTAAGGACAGCGAAACGGCTGAGACCACGCCAGGCGAGATGGGCTCTCTTCTTCTCTCGTTTCAACTTTCATATAATGTACCGACCTGGGTCTAAGAATACGAAATCAGATGCTCTGTCCCGTATGTTTGAGGACCCCGACGATACGGTGTTACCTGACACAATTTTGCTATCCGGAAGCTTCCTCGCCCTGCAAACGGAACTTCGCTCCAGACTGATTGACGCTTCCGTTGGACTGCCAGTCCCGCCTGGGTCGCCTCTCCAGAACCGTGAGGGTCTGCTTTGGAAGGAAAACCGGATCGTGGTGCCGGAAGAAGTTCAAACTTTGATCCTGGGGCACTGCCACGACCATCCAATGGCGGGACATTTTGGGGTGACGAAGACTCGGGAGCTACTGCAGCGCTCATTCTGGTGGCCAAACATGGTCAAAGACTGCGAGCGCTACGTCCAGTCCTGTCCCACCTGCCAAAGGAACAAACCCTCCCGAAGCAAGGCCTGGGGATTACTACGCCCATTGCCGGTTCCCAAACGGGCCTGGCAAATGATTGCCATGGATTTTGTAGTTGAAATCCCACCGTCTCAAGGCTACACAGCTATAATGGTGATCGTGGACCGCTTTTCAAAAATGGCCCATTTCGTGCCCCTAGAGAGGACCCCGTCGGCGCCGGAGACAGCCTGGATATTCATTAAGGAAGTAGTGAGGCTACATGGGATTCCCGAGGACATAGTGTCGGATCGGGGAGTCCAGTTCACATCGAGATTCTGGAAAGCCTTATGTGAAGCATTAGGAATCAAACTGTCACTGTCATCCGCTTACCATCCACAGACCAACGGGCAAACGGAAAGGACCAATCAAACGTTGGAACAGTACCTAAGATGCTAAACGTCCTACCTTCAGGACGACTGGCTAACACTGTTGCCTTCTGCAGAGTTCACCTATAATAACTTGATCCACTCGGCTACGGGTCAATCCCCGTTCTTCTCCAATTACGGGTATCATCCCACATTCCTCCCTGACTTGATGCCTGAAAATCCGGTACCTGCGTCTCAAGACATCTTGAACTTCTTTTCTGTCAATAACAAAACGATTCAGGAAGCCATCGCTAAAGCCCAAGAGGACAGTAAAAGGGCGTTCGACAGGAAAAGAAGAGGAGAGTTACTGCTTCAACCGGGGGATCAAGTTTGGCTGGCAACGACCAACTTGAAGATGCTGTGTCCTTCAAGAAAGCTGGGACCCAAGTACATTGGGCCATTTCCGGTAAAACGAGTAGTCAACGAGGTGGCCTTCCAGATACATCCTGTGTTCCATGTGTCTCTCCTGAAGCCATCCAGACCGGATCCCTTCCCGGACCGTGAATCCAGACCTCCCGAGGCAGTCACCATAGGTGACCAGGAGGAATATGAAGTGGAGACTATCCTCAGTTGCCGAAAGAGGGGGGGCCAGACACAGTTCCTGATAAAATGGAAGGGTTATGGCCCTGAGGAGAACTCATGGGAACCCGCCCAGAACATTCACGCACCCAGGCTCATCCGGGAGTTTTTTTCGTAGTCACCCGCGCGGTGGAGAGATCAGTGGGGCTCCCGGAGGGTGCCCATTGGGGGGGGCAATGTCAGGGATCGCGGCTCTGATCGCGGCACCTTCCCCCGTGCACGCGCACTGGCGGCGGATCTCGCCGGGACACGGGCACTAGGTCCCGGCGAGCCGCAGCTGACAGGACGCCGCGCATGCGCGGTAGAAAGCCGCGGGCGCGCCTCAGGCGTCCAATGACAGTCGGGGGGCGCGTCCTAGCCGGCCAATGACAGTGCAGGGCGCACTATTTAAAGATGCCCTGCACTGTCACTGATTGCCGCAAGGTCTTCTGAGTTCCTGTATCCTGTACCTGAGTTTTTGATCCTGATTGACCCTGACTACTCTACTCTCTCCTGCATTTTGACCCGGATTGTCCTGACTACTCTACTCTCTCCTGCATTTTGACCCGGATTGTCCTAACTACTCTACTCTCTCCCATCCTGACCCCCGGCTTGTTAAAACCTATCTACGGACTGACTTCTCCTGCTGACCCTGCGAGTGACCTGACGATTCTCCGCCTGCCGATTCTGTACCACGCCTCCTCCACGGGTCCCCTGCTCGCAATCTATCCTGCTGGGCCCTGCCGTCCTCCTCACATCTGGCTCTTCCGGTACCATACATCCCCAGTGGTTCCCCCTGCCGCTGGCAGGCCTGCTCAGAGGTCGTGACCTGGTCCTGGTCTGTTTCAAGTCCATCCCCACCATCAGGGGCCCTGGTGAAAGCACAGACCGGGACTTAGACTCCACGCTTTGGGTAGGTCTGTCAAGTGGACAGCCAACAGCACCACCTGGCGGATCATAACAGTCCTTAACCTTTCGCAGCTACTTTTACAGGTTTCTATTTCATCTGAGCCCTTCCACATCTTGCTAGCTTACCTTTTCCAGGCCTCTCCAAATTTGCCAGCAAACTTTCTTCCCATGTTCTAACAGCGGCTAGGAGAACCATTGCCATGCATTGACTTACTACCATGCCTCCTACAGATCAAGAAACTGACAAACTCCATGTTATTGAAAAGAAGGGTGGCTATATTGGTCACTGATTTCTTTTTGAAATGTCAGAAACAGGGGCGGACTGACAACTCATGGGGCCCCCGGGAAATAGGGGATCATGGGGCCCCTGTGTCCTTGCCCAAACTCAAAAAAGCCTATGAAAAAGGGACCAGGGGCATCTCATGGGGCCCTCTACTGATCCCGGGCCCTCGGGCAGTGCCTGAGTTTCCAAACGGTCAGTCCGCCCCTGCTCCTACGTGATCAGAATTGGTTAGGGATGCACCGAAATTTCGGTGGCCAAAACGTTTCGGCCAAACACACCCCTTTCGGCCGTCGGCCGAAATGAAAATCAGCACTGATACAAGCAGTAGTGTATTTAGGTTTTGTGCTGCCCTAGGCAACACAAGGATCGTCTGCCCCCACAGATACTGACCAACACCCCCCCTTCCCCCTCCCATGGAGAGAGCCTAAAAATTGACCAACAACACCCCAGCCCCCCACCTGGGAAAGCCTTCCTCTAAACCCCCCAGAGAGAAACTAGAGAGAAAGACACTCATCTTCACAGCTCTGGACATCCCCGGGAATGAGAGTCAGGTTCTACATGCACCATCAAGCAGCCCGCAACGGATCCCACCTGGTTCCCATGGTGCGCGTGTATCCCTTCTTCCATCCCTCCTTCTGGGGGAAGGTGCTTCCCCCCTGAAAAATGCCACCCTAGGCAAGTGTTTTGTGTAAATACGCCCCTGGATATAAGTGCCAAAAAAACCCACCCCTCGCCACCACCCGCCCCTCGCCACCGCTCGGTAGTTCTCAGCCTTGCCTGAGAAACCATCAAGCGATCCCGACACTCGGCATAGAGATGAGTGAAGGAAAGATGATGCCTCCACTCATCTCTATGGTGTTGGAGGACCAGAGCGATGTCACTTCCGGTTCTGGCTATTTTTTATTTTTTTTGTAAAAGCACTAGAAAGGCAAAAAAAACAGCAAAGTACGATCCAATTTGCTCCTGCAGGGGACAAATTTCCTTCCTGATCCCTCGAGAGGCAATCGGATATTCGCTGGATCAACTATGGAACAGATATTTTAACCCCTTCACGCCGACATCACACAAATATGTGGCCTCACAGAATTGGGCTTTTTTCCGTGGAGCTGCATATTTGCGTACCTGTGCGGCACGCTCCCAGCACAAAGGCCGCAGTGTCACTGAGATCACCGGGTCCCGTTCTAATGATCGGGACCCGGGACTCCCAATTCCAGGTCACATGATTGCTGTGATAGCCTCTGATTGGCTATCACAGTGATCAGTCACTGTGCAGCCTGGCCCCCTTGTTTTTTTTTTTCTCTCTCTATGAATGGAGGAGAAATATACATTGGATCTCTCTAACTCCTGGCATAGAGGGGAAAAAAAGTTTGCAAAAAAAAAGAAAAAGAGAAATAAATATTAAAAAATAAAATAAGAAATAAAGAAAAAATACCTAGATCAAGGTTTGATCTAGTTCAGTGCCAGGGTAAGTGTTTGGGTCAAGGTCAAGGAAAATAAAAAAAAAAGGTCAGGGTCAAAGGTCAGGATTGAAAAAAAATGTGGTGTCAGTGTCAGTTAGTGTCAGTATGTTTTAGGTAAAAAAAAAAAGACAAAAACAAAATGCGCACTATTGTTTCTGGGCTGTGCTACGGGTACAAACAACAAATAACATACACATATATGGTATCTCTGCGATCGTCATGAGCTGGAGAATTTATTTTGGGTTGTTCTTTGGTGGTAGGTTATGGTAGTAACAAGAAACACACAGCTAAATAAAAAAAAAAAATTATTTTTTTACTATTTTGGGCCAGTTTAAAAAAAAAAAGAAAAATCAAAAGATATCCATTACCATTTACCACCAAATGAAAGCCCAATTTGTCCTGAAAGAAATGCGGTATAATTCACCCGGATGTACAAAGTAGTTGTGATGATATGTACGGTTTTACTAACACATGTCAAAGTTGCAAAATTGTGCTTAGGCATTTAGATTTGTTTTACCCTTAGGCGTGAAGGGGTTAAAAAGCTCGCCTGCAGTGCTTTTCCCTTCCAACAAGGACCCAATTGCACCTTTGCATTTTCTCGCACAGGTCCTGACACGCTAAAACACATGTGATGGTTCTCCACAGCAGAGACCTGCGCCCGTCACATGCGGAGATTTTTGAAATCTACAACACGTCCTTTTTTTTCTGTGTTTTTGTGCTAGAGGAGGTCAATAGAAGTCAATGCAAAGCATCAAAAGGCATATAACATTCATTTCTGCGCACTGGCAGCAAGTTCCAACAAGCCTCGGCCAATGGCTGCTGTCCCTTTCCATTCCAAATTCTAAATTCAAAAACACATTGAAAACGCACATCAAAGGGCATCAAAATGCATGTCATCCCCCAATACCTGATACGCACATTGACGCATGGCAATGCCCCTATGAAAAACGCCCCTCTGTGCGCACACATCTAAATGGGCCCGCGTTATTTTTTTATTCACTTGCAGTTTTCTAGCAAATGTGACTACTTTAGGAGAGTCAGTGACCTCTTCCCTTCCCAGATCTTCCCAGATCATAGCCTGCTGTTCTGTCATTGTCTAAATAGTGTCTCTGCTGGCCCAGCTCCTCCGCCCCTCCTTTTCAACAGTTTTTTAAGGGTTTCTCAGAGGCAGGGGCGGACTGACCATTCGGGCACTGTCCGAGGGCCCGGAGTCAGTAAGGGGCCCCATGAGATGCCCCTGGTACCTTTCATAGGATTTTTTGGGTGAGGGTTGAGTGTGGGTGAGGACACAGGGGCCCCATGATCCCCTATTGCCTGGGGGGCCCCATGAGTTGTCAGTCCATCCCTGCTCAGAGGTAAAACGGTTAAGAAAGGCCGCTATACAGAATCACCTGAGTGACTGCCCTGAGTCTGCTGACATCACATCCAAGATGGCGGAACCTAGTGGGAGACTCGGGGCTCCTGGATGTCTACACAAGGGGGCACCTTACTGGTGAACAACATGAACAATGTACATGAAACTCTTCAATACCAGACACTTTGCTGCCCAGGACAAATTTCAGCTTTCAGCGCTGTCACACTTTGAATATCAATTACGCGGTCATGCAGCGCTGTACCCGTATGAATTTTTCATAATTTTTTTTAGACAGATACAGCTTTCTTAGTTTCTGTTATAAAAAATTTTGCAAATAAGTAATTTTTCTTCTTCGCTGTTGTGCACTGATGAGGCTGCACTGATGGATACTGATGGGCACTGATGAGGCTGCACTGATGGGCTCTGATAAGGCTGCACTGATGGGCACTGATAAGGCTGCACTGATGGATACTGATGGGCACTGATGAGGCTGCACTGATGGGCACTGATAAGGCTGCACTGATGACGTGGCGCTGATAAGCTGTACTGAAGGGCACTGATAGGCTGCACTGATGGATACTGAAGGGCACTGATAGGCTGCACTGATGGATACTGAAGGGCACTGATAGGCTGCACTGATGGGCACTGATAAGGCTGCTCTGATAGGCACTGATGAGGTGGCGCTGATAAGCTGTACTGAAGGGCACTGATAGGCTGCAGCTGCACTGATGAGGCGGTGCTGAATAGGTGGCACTGATAAGCTGTATTCATGGGCACTGATGAAAAGGAACTAATAAGCTGCACTGAAAGCTGTGTTGATTATTTGCTGTCCTTTCTCTCTCACAGAGGAAAGGACTGCCGAAAACTGGGAAATCTGTTTACATGTGATCAGCCCCTTACCCCCATCTGTGATTGACCCCTTACCCCCATCTGTAAATGGCCCCTTACCCCATCTATAAATGGCCCCTTACCCCCATCTGTGATTGGCCCCTTACCCCCATCTGTAAATGGCCCCTTACCCCCATCTATAAATGGCCCCTTACCCTCATCTGTGATTGACCCCTTACCCCCATGTATAAATGGCCCCTTACCCCCATCTGTGATCAGCTGTGATTGGCCCCTTACCCCCATCTGTGATCAGCTGTGATTGGCTCCTTACCCCCATCTGCGATTTATTATTTATTTATTTCAGGTACTTATATAGCGCTGTCAGTGTACGCAGCACTTTACATATATATTATACATTCACATCAGTCCCTAACCCTCAAGGGGTGTACAATCTAAGGTCCCTAACCCTCAAGGGGCGTACAATCTAAGGTCCCTAACTCTCAAGAGGCGTACAATCTAAGGTCCCTAACTCACATTCATACATACACATACTAGGGCCAATTTAGACAGGAGCCAATTAACCTACCAGCATGTCTTTGGAGTGTGGGAGGAAATTGGACTACCCGGAGTCAACTGTGATTGGCCCCTTACCCCCATCTGTAATCAGCCATGACCTTACCCCCATCTGTAATCAGCCATGACCTTACCCCCATCTGTAATCAGCCATGATTGGCCCATTACCCCCCATCTGTAATCAGCCATGATTGGCCCCTTACCCCCATCTGTGATCAGCTGTGATTGGCCCCTTACCCCAATCTGTGATCAGCTGTGATTGGCCCCTTACCCCCATCTGTGATCAGCTGTGAATGGCCCCTTACCCCCATCTGTGATCAGCTGTGATTGGCCCCTTACCCCAATCTGTGATCAGCTGTGATTGGCCCCTTACCCCCATCTGTGATCAGCTGTGAATGGCCCCTTACCCCCATCTGTGATCAGCTGTGATTGGCCCCTTACCCCCATCTGTGATCAGCTGTGATTGGCCCCTTACCCCCATCTGTGATCAGCTGTGAATGGCCCCTTACCCCCATCTGTGATCAGCTGTGATTGGCCCCTTACCCCCATCTGT